TCTCCAGGCGTCCCTCCGCTCCGGGCACTCCTGGCAGCGGTGCCCGTTTGTCTCTGTTGGGGGCTTTGCGACGTGGGGCAGCCTGCGTGGCTCCCTGCAGCTGAAACCTCCTTGCGCAGGGGAGGGAGGGAGAGAGGGAGGGAGGGATGGATGGATGCTGAAGGAGGCTGCCGGATTTGCCTGCAGGTTTTGACTAGCAGCGCGGGAAGCAAAAACGCGCTATTAAAACCCAGAAATGCTGGCAAGTAAGTTTTACGTTATCAAATAACACTCTCTGCGATTACTGAAGAGTTACAGCAGCTGGGACAGCCCTCCTCGTTACTGGTAATGAGCAGGAGGGCTGCCCGGCTGCTCTGACTCTTGCCATATCTGCCGCAGATATTATTTGATAACGTAAAACTGGGTTTACCAGTAGGTGGCCCGGTGGTTTAATACATGCAGCTAGCACTACTTTGAGTTCTCCTCAGCCTGGGCTGTCCTCTAGGTAGCCACAGCACGAGCTGCGAGATTTAACACTCACTTCTGTTGATCTTAAAAGGTCTGGTGCTGCAATAACAGCACAACTGTTAAAACAGGGTCAGTTGAAGGACCTTTTAGGGTAACCTATGTTTATCTGGCTTTTCTTAGTGTTGCTAATTTTTATCTAGATCAAGCGAATGAGTTACTTTTAAAAAAATATGATTGTAAGATAAGGTGTAAATTCTTTAATTAAATGTATTGAAGTGAAGAAAAATAGTGTATATATTACAGTGTCTGTGCATATTTGTCAAAATGTTTATTTGTTGCTCATTTACACTGGTAATATATTTGAAAAAAATTGAATGCATGTAATTACTTGATAGTAAGTTGCTAAAAGTATACGAATTTAAGGCTATGTCCTGTCTGCGTTGTAGATTTTATTCCATGTGAAGTGAAGCAAAGAGAACATAGTTCCAAAAATATTCAAGTACATGCGTGTTTAGCAACACAGTTGTGTCAACTTTAGTGCACTAGGTTGTCACACATATCCTTTTCTGTATGCAGGAGCTTTGCATGCTGTTCTTGTTGTTAAGGAAGATCTTTATAATATATTTTCTGTTCCTGTTTAGGATGGGGAAGTCAGAGTTCCAAAGTACATATACATCACAGCACATGGCTTCATTTTCCTGGCCACAATTTACGCTGGATACTGACTTTTATCCTCTTGTTTGTGCTGGTGTGTGAAATTGCAGAGGGCATAGTGTCTGATGGGTAAGTGTATGTCTACCTTCTCCTGATAGCACTGAGCATGTTAAAGGTTTCAGGGTAGGTATTTTCTCCCTGTCTAAATTCTCATCTAGACCATGTTCCTTGTGGTTATGAACATGTAATCTGTATTCTTGGTGATTAACCTGCTGACCTTGTATCAGAAATTCCACAGGCCTTGCCAAGTATGTACACATGCACAACTGACCTTAATAATTTTTAGTTCAGCTTAATGACACTGTCTTTCCAAAGAGTAATCATAGATAAATCCTAACAATTCAAGCAGATGGTGACATTTTTGTGATATGTTTTGTGTCCAAGGACTCAGTCCCACAGCCCTTACGTAGGAAGAACTCCCATGTGTGCAGTAGGTCATACCATTCCCCTGCGAAATGAGTTCTGCTCATCTTAATAAAGGGAGTGGATCTACTGGGCCTTACCACGCACCATAGAGTTTCTTCTAAGGTTTGTGCAGTACATCTGAGCTGCTGCCTTGAGCAGAGCATCTCGCATTGCATGAGCATGATCCATCATCTGTTATTCAACTTAGGATGTCTTTAAACAGTCATCTGTTTACGAGGGTGGTGAGACTTTGGAATAGATTGTCCAGAGAGGTTGTGGATGCCCCCTCCCTGGAGGTGTTCAAGGCCAGGTTGGATGGAGCCTTGAGTAGCCTGGTCTAGTTGAGAGGCGTCCCTGCCCATGACAGGGAGGTTGGATTAGATGATCTCTAAGGTCCCTTCCAGCCTATGCCATTCTATGATCTGTGGGGAAAAATTATTCCCAGTGAAACAAGTGATACAAGAGAGTGATTTATCATGAAAAAAGCTGATGTTGTATAACAATGACCATGATCATCTTCCTCTAAAGAAAGGTCTGATTTTCATAACTACTGTGTATTTGCAACCCAAGGATTATAAAGTTGATGCTCCTCATTAAATAGAACAAAGCCTCTCTGTTTAGCCATCTATATAACAACTATCCACCAACCAGTGTGAAAGGCACTGCAGTATTCTTCTGTAGAAGCTGATGTCATTGTATTATTATTATAACTTCTCTTAAACACATATAAATAGGATGTTTCTTAGTGCTATTTTTTTAAAAAAGAATTTTTCTCATGCTTACTTAGAGTTATCAGGGTGTGGGATGCTCAGAGCGAAATCTCCTGCCTTGAGTGTTCTGGTTTATTCTGTTCTTTAGCAGTCCCTTTCATTATGTTTATTTGCTATTTAACTTGACTCAGAACACTGCTGTTAAGTAATGAGTGTCACCTGATGAGAATCAAAGCTTCTATCTGTACTGGGGGAGTACCAACCCACAATGGTGCCTCCCAAGCACTCAGCAGGCTAGCAAGTGCTCCAGTGAGTAAAAGCAGATTTTGAGAGTCATCAGCTTTCAAAGACCAAAATGGATCATGCTGGTAAGTCCTTTTGACAGCAATTGAGTGTCAAAGGCTTTGACACCTCAGCAATAGATGCAGCCTGTTGGAGACATGGTTATATAGGGGAATTCCAGCAACTTCTATGTGTGAAATAAATCTAAAAAAACTCTCCCACTCTTACAGTGTTACATACTGAAGCTTAGGCTGTCGGAAGAAATCTCTTCCTGTTGCTTGTGAGAATTGAGCCCTGTTATTCAAAAAACCCTGGCATTACTAGGAATTGAGAGACTGGAGAATACTAACTTGTCAACAAGAAAAGTTAAGTGTTTACACCACAGGTTGTCAGCATGGCTCCAGCTAGCTCTGCAGAGTTCACCATAACATCCGTGTGAGGGAGGGCTTTTCTTTCCTAGTACAGATGCAGGAACTGGTCCTCCTGAGCTCCTACAGATCTGTTAGACATTGGGGATGTTTTGCTCTCAGGCATGTGAAGTCCTGTGGTGACCTCCAGCTCCGTGACAGCACAGCCCCTTTTGTCTCTCCAAACTACACAAAGGTAGCTTTTGCTGTGGCAAGAGCAAATCCAGAGATGCTAATTTATTTTCCATGAGATCCAGAGGACAAGATGTGAATTTCCCTCAGAGTTTTTGCCCTGAAGACTTCCTCTTGGTGCCTCTTCTCCCTGAGTTGGTTGGGAGACAGAATTGTACCTTTTGACAGCACAAGACACTCCATTACTTCTGTGAAAGAAATAAAAGGGGAGGAGGAGAAGATGGCAAGTAGGAGGAAAGAGCAGGGGGGGAAACATGATTCTACCCACATCTGTACAAACCAACAACATTGCCCAACAATTCCTGTATTCCCAAAGGGCTGTATTTTCCAGGACCCCCTCTGCTGCTACCTGAAGCAAAGTATGAGGAAAGTTTTGCTTAATAGGACAAAACTTCAGGGTATTACGATTCTGTTGTAGACTTTGTTTGTTGGCTTGCAGTCACTGAAAACAGAACTCACTGTAAGTAATTCCCATGCTGTGGTGCTGTTCTTTCTCCCAAAGTGGAAAAAGATAACGAAACATTTCCACAAAATGTTTCTGTAGAAAATTTTAAACCATGCTGTCAGTTGGTCTTATCTACATGTTCTGATGGACAGCTCCCAAACTGCTTTAGCTTAAATTAACTCTTCTCACTTTGGAGCTGAGCTGCTTATCCTAATTTAAACCAAGTTCCAATTGATTTCAGAAGGAAATAGGAGCACACACCTTTCATTTTCAGCACAGAGGAGGAAACTGAAATCCAACTTTGTGATTTAGGAGCATAAATCCAACTGAGAATCTGAGAGCTTTCCATCCAGAAATCGTTCTAGACAATCCTACATCAGGGCTCCGTGCAGGTTATAATTCATAAATTAAAAAGGAAATGTTTAAATAGCTAAGAGCGTTTGATTTTAATAGATGTTCACTTTTTCAGGGTTTCTGAATCCCGCCATTTACACCTGTACATGCCGGCTGGGATGGCGTTCTTGGCGGCCATCACGTCTGTTGTCTATTACCATAATATTGAAACATCCAATTTCCCGAAGCTGTTGATCGGTACGTCTGACAACTTACAAGACTTGGAAGCGTGGCTGTGGTGCTGTGTGTCCATTGGTGCTGTGATGGGTCATTGTGGTCTCGATGCTGGCTTGTGTAGATAAAGCGGCAGCTCCGTTCTGGTCTGCGGGTTGCCATTAGCAGGCTCAGTTCTGAGTTTTCCTGAAACAGTACATTGTTTTCCATGCTTTTAACTTCTAACAGTATTCTTTATGGTGTTCTCGGGGATCACATGGGCCAAAGGCTTCTCTAGGAAAAACTGGCTTTGTGGCAAAAGTAGCACACCAAACTCGTAACTCTAAAAGCTATCCTAATCCTCCTGCTTATCAGCATGTTGCATTTAAGTGTGATATAAGATTGAAGCCATCTTTGTGTGTGTGGTCTTTTGAAGCATGCAGGGAGTCAAGGGAAATGAATGACATCACTGACTTTCAGTGTATGTTACTTTGCCTGCTTGTTCTTGCTTCCTGTTCCTAGAACTCCCTTTGTAAACTGCTTTAAGACCTTTTGAATGGAAAATGCTATCTATAAGAAATAGCTAGTATACTATATATTTTCTGCAAGATTGTAAATAAACCGTAGCTAGCTGTAGAAAATCCATTACTGCTCATACTCGTGCAGTTGGTGTCATGTTCTCTTAAACAGTGTTTAAGTAGATTGCAGACTGTAGATGTCTAAATGTTTATTCATCCTGTCAGCTGTTATTTCTGTGGTGGTCCTGGCTCGTCAAATTTTGTTTGAGCTGGTTTTCTGTATTAATGGATCCTGCTAAGGTTCGCCTCGTGTCATTGCTCTGTGTATCAAAGTTCCGCTCTAGTTTTTGTTAGGTGGTAATAAATCAATAACAACTGGATTTGAGAAAGCTTTTAAATATTGAAGGTCATTTTGAACTGCATGTTGTGGTAAGCAAGCATCCTCTTCTGCAGAAGGAGCCTGTAACTCCAACAAAAAGAAAAAAAAATTATTCCTCTTCAAAAACTTCAGATTTCTATCCAGACTTTGCGACCTTTATGTCTTCTCATTTGGGACTGCTTTTCTTCTCACAATCTGTGGAGATTAGCACATTCCCTTGGAGTATGCCAGACAAGGATGCAAAGTTCCTGTATTGATCCTGCCTTTCAGCTTTGTCCCCCAGCTGTTGGCTGTTTTGAAGCAGTCCTCTTACCAAAAAAAGTTGACAACATTTGGAATATTTATTCTCTGGAACTAATGATTGAGTCCAGGATCCCACTTGAGTGTCCAAACTATTGGAATGCTTTGATCTGATCTAAATCTCTTTTTCTCTATGTGGTTTTGGCCTGTAATTATATTTCAACAAACAGCTTTTCCAGTGTAATGCTCTTTACTGGGTGGCTCTCCTAATAAGGCTAATTTTGGTGCTTTTTGCACAGTGTCACAAAATGGATGCATAATAGTAGTACAGTTTAGCAGGACACATATTAGAGTAGTTTTCATACTGAATGGGAGAACCTGCTAGCTTTCCGACATTCAAAATATGTAATTGAATAGTAGCATCTGATTGCACGTTTTTTTTGAGTTAGTATTTATTCATTTCATAGATAAATAAATCTCAGAAATTAAACAGTAATAGGACTTAGAATTTTTAGTCTGAGAGGAATAGTAGTATGGGAACACATATGAGGTGGTGGATTATTTTTTTTAGTTTAAGAAAATTGTCACTTTTTTTAACCAATCATAATTATAGAACTGCCTCACCATTCTTGACAGTAATCTAGTTTTTCTAATTTAAATTTCCTGTACCGTGGCATTGTAGTTAATTCCCTTGGAATTAGTTTATTGTTTAAAGTGGAACTTCCTGTTGTCCTATAAATACAATGCTTATTGCTTAGTAAACAAAATTTCTCTTCAAACCGACATGGGTTAGTTAATAAATCCCACCTAATTAAGTGTGTGATTTATCAGACCTTGGACTTAATCCAGTAAAGGTGTTGAACAGTTTGAGTTCCACATTGCTTAATGGAAGAAAACATTTTAATATCTTTTCCTGCATACATCCCAGAGATCTGTAGAGGGAATGAGATGAATTTTCCCTCAAACCAAATTCTAGCAATCTTTTAGCGTTAACCAAATTTGAAGAGCATCATTCACAGCCACCTTCACTGATGGGGCAACTCCCTCCCTTGAACTTGTCATGCAGATGCATGTTTACAACAGATGGAAATTTCCTTCAGCAGGCTTCACGTTGTGAAACTTTCGAAATATCACCAAATCTAATAGGAAAGGAATTTGAAACTAACATTATCTTAATATTTTTATGTTTGTGGAATTGAATTACGCTTCTGTTTTGACATGAGAAAAGCCATTCTATGATTTTATATATTATTGTTGCATTCTTTCCGAATGAATATTTAATACTGTTATTGTATATTTTTGCAACTGTGGAGCTGATTAACTTTTTTTTCTTTTCCCCTACAGCATTACTGTTCTACTGGACTTTAGCCTTCATAACTAAAACCATTAAATTTGTTAAATTCTGTGATAATGGGGTTGGATTTTCTCAGCTACGATTTTGCCTCACAGGACTCCTGGTTGTTTTATATGGAATGCTACTAGCTGTAGAAATCAACGTCATCAGGGTGAGGGTAAGTTAGTATCATAAAAGTCTCCTTCTGTGTTTTCTCTTGTTTTGTTGGGTTTTTTTTTATTCCCCTTACTTAGTTTGAAATGCATTTCTAAAGGAGAGAGAAAAATCCAGTTAGAAATAGAAATATATTTGAGAATCAAAGGTTAATCCAATTTTATTAGGCCAGATGAATTCATAATTTCAAAAAATGCCAGACTCCATTGCAGTTAAATTAAGATTAACTTCATCTGTTCAAGTTTGTTTTAAAAATGTCTATTGAGAGTCACAATTTCAGTCATTAGAAATGAGTATTTCTAATGCAAGGAAAGAGTAGGTGAAAGGAATTGTCTGCTCTATCAGAGAATATCTTATAAACACACAAATAACATTTCTCATTTTCTAGGAGATAATCACAATAAGTGATTTACTGGGGCAACTGGGATTGCCATCGAGCCTCCCAGCTACGTATGTATATTTTTCCTCTGCAATGTCAGCAGTCATAATCCAAACTGAGAGATGGCTGTGGAGACTGCTGGATAGATAGATGCCAAAGTTCTTCCCTTCACCTATCCCTCACCTAACTGTATGCTCAAATTAGGCTTAGTCTCAGGAGGGAAAGAAACTTTTCCACGTAAAAGTTGCCATTTTTCTTGCTGCTTCCCTCACATTAGTTAGGTGAACTCTTCCCAGTACACAATCAGCAATGTGAGTTGCATCTGTCACATATTTGTTCTTTTGTGATTTTCTTGGCGATTTTGTGTCTGTATGTTTATTTGATAACTTAGGACAAAATTATGTCTGAAAGCAGCCTTTTCAGTAGCATTTTTGAAAGAAAAAGGAATAAAATCCTCAATGCTGGACATTCAGTATTTAAAACGTATAAGAAAGACAGTGGATTGGCTTGTGGGAAAAGTGAAATTCAAATGTGAATTGCTCATAAGCCTCCTCAGTAGAACTGCATAATTAAACAAGGTTTAATCACTTTGGAATTAGAGGTCATAAAGAAGAATAAAAAATAGTTGCTGCCTGTTTTTTAATGTTCTGTTTGATTGGTTTTAATTATTAAAAGATGTCATTGATTCATCAAATGAATTAGCCAGCGGTATGGATTTTTTTATTGCCTGTTGTGTCCATGGCAGAGTTTGGAGAGCCAGGCTTGTTGCTGCAGCTTCTGAAGGAAGTGATTGGGATGTATGGAGAGTTGGCCACTGCGGAGGGGGAGAAGGGGTGAGGGGGAGGTGGTGGAAGAAAATAAAAATGGAGGGTGAGGCCTCTATGCTAGCAGAAACAGCAGACATTTGCCTCACCTTTTTTCTCCTGCCTTCCCCCATTTTCTAGAAGGCAGAAGATTGACTTGTTTGACTTTCAATCCCAACTGTACCTTTTGCCTTCCTTCCACTGTTCCCATTGTTCCTTTAGGTGGCTTTTCCAAACCCCATCGCCATTTTTTCTAGGATCTGTGAATTTTTTTCTCCGACTATGGTTGGAGAGAAGATAGCAGTGAAGCATATCCAGAAATCCTACTAAGATTAATAGGATTTAGATATAGTCATGAGTAGAGATTGAATGAAATATATGATTAAGTACTTTTAAGAAAGGAAAGGTGTATTTTTAAGAGGCTTGACTTTTCATTCACAAAAATGAGTGATGTTAGGAAAAGTTTTATCTTGACAACAGGAAATCATCAGCAGTCTATCCTCGCTTTTTCGGCATTTAAGCCAAAGGAAACATTTGTTAGTGCCATATGCACTCCCTAGTTCAGTGGTTTCCCAGACCCATTCAGGACAGCACAGGTCGCTCCATGTTCTGAGCTAACCAAATGTCAGGCAGTATGATATGGGAGATGAATCACAGATAGCGTCAGCCTTAGGCTGTGCCTAAGCTGCTATGTCCCATGTTGTGCTCTCTGGAACTCAGAGCAAGGGCCTGGGGCTGTACTATTTGAAATGTAAGGTATGTTTTTTCCTACAAATATGCAAATTTGTACCTCATAAACAAAGTAATAGTGAATATTTAGGCTGATTTATTGCTAGACTGAATGCCTCTGATTTTCCCCAGTACCTAAGGAAACTAGATTGCTGTATTGTTTGAATTTGCATATATTCCTTGAGTACTTTTGAGAAATCAAGACTGACTAATTGATTATCTGCTATATCCTTCACCTGTTTTTTTTCAGACTTTCATTTTCTATGCGTTTAGTGTGATTCTTTTGGTATTTTTCTGAATTTCAGAGGTATGTTTTCTTCAAAACTCCTAAAGAAGTTAAACCTCCTGAGGATCTCCAGGACCTTGGCGTTCGATTCTTACAGCCGTTTGTGAATCTCTTGTCCAAAGGAACATACTGGTGGATGAATACATTCATCAAGACTGCCCATAAAAAACCAATAGACTTGAAAACCATAGGCAAGCTTCCCATTGCTATGAGAGCTCTGACCAATTACATTCGCCTTAATGAGGCTTTTGAAGCACAGAAGGTATGCAAAGCATGGAGCTATGTTCATCTGCTTACTCAGTGCCTAAGTTTTTTTTTATTACTTTTTATGCCATGAGCATGGTATAAAATTATGTAAAGGAAAAAGGAACATGATGCAAATGAAGTATCCATTAGTATAGCTTTCCATATACAAAGAAATCACATACTCAGTTGTGCCTCATACAAATAATAACATTTCTCTACCTAAGCATGCGTGTCAAACACATCACTGGTTAAATATGTGTAAAATCCATATGGCCTTTATTTTGATATGGAGAGTAATTATGGATTCTATTCAATGAACGCCATTATTCTTCCTAGTAAGACCCTGGAATCATTCAATTACACAGTCAATATTAATGGGCCCTCGCAGGACTATTTTTTTTCCATGTAATTTCAGTTACAGTTTGTCTGTAGGAGAATTGAGGGTTGAAACTACCTCAGCTCAAATTCTGCTTGACTCCCTGGTGGGAGCTGAGTGTATTCAGAATTTTAAGAGAAGTCTTTTGCATCCTGTCTAAAAAGAGTGTAGATTTCCAGCCTCTATATTCTCAGAAACACAAAACCTGTCAGTTCCCTACTTCATGTTTTTTTATTTTCTCCCTTGGCAAACCACAAACACCACTCTTATTTGATCTCTATTAAAGGTAGGAAAGAAATAATGTTTCTTTTTGTGGAGGAGAGTACATATTAATGCTTTGTTCTGACTCTATAAAAAAAAAAAAATAATTGTAGTTCCTAGCTCAAAGATTGCAACTGATTTTCAACGAATTAAAACAGGGATAAAAATACCAATAATTGATCGTATCTAAGGCTAAGACATAACATAATCCTTACTTTTTTTTTTTTTTATTCTGAACAGAACAAAAGGTCGTCATCTCCACAAGGATCCAGATCAATATGGCGTGCTCTCTGCTGTGCTTTTGGAAGACCCTTACTCCTCAGTAGCACTTTCCGTATTTTGGCTGACTTGCTTGGATTTGCTGGTCCGCTCTGCATCTCTGGGATTGTTCACAATGTTGGAAAAGGAAATAACACCATCCGCCCACAGGTACTGTCAAAATGTCATAAAAATAAAGGAGTCAAAGTAATGCTGTGACTATGTATTATTTGGCCTCGGTAAAGAAAGTGACTCTGCAATGTGTTCGTGAATGCTAGAAATGACAGTATGTATGTACTGCCTATTATCCACATTTATACCTTGATGGGAAGCAAAATATGTTACCCAGACATCTAGTCAAGCTTCTATTCTGGGAAACAGCCACATTCAAGATAATGGTGAAGCATGTTTAGAAACCCACTAGCATCATAAGGATTTTAGGTACAGTCTTGAGAGATTGAATCAAGTATGTGACTTAGTGCTTTTCAGAAGGGAAAAAGTGTATTTTTAATAGACTTGGCTTTTCTTTTCCAAAAATGAGTGATGTCTAAGAGGATTAAAGCAGGCTTTTGTCATCACAATAAAATATCAAGTAGTTTAGGTGTGACAAAAAATTTCCACTAGTGTCTTTGGGGAGGTTGGTTTTGAAAGATCAACTGAAACATATTTTTAAAGGACTTTTTTTGAATTAATGTTGCCCAAGAAGAAACAGGCATACTTCTTGATTAACTAAAAAAAAAAAAAGCATCTTCTAATTACAAGGTAAAGTCATTCAGGCTTCATTTCTATGAGAAAGATCATTTTATTTTTGCATCTCACTTATTGTTTGATATAAGACTTTATTTCCAAAGTCCGTTGACGCTAATGGAACTGTACCCATTCAGTCAAGTACACTTTGGATTAGATCCACTGTAAATATTGAAATACATCAGATGCATTGCAGAAAATTTGACAAAGGCCTCAGGCTAAAATTAATTGTTTATCCATTTTGCAATCCTTATCCTAGTATTTGGAAACTTTAATATAGCAAATAAATTCAATGGAAACCAGTTAAAGCAGGAAATGAAAAAACAGGGCTATGTTACAGCAAAGTACTGTGGAAGCTTTTAAGTGGCTTCTTGATAATTTGTTTGGAACACTGTTTCAGCTGAAATTATGCCGGATCACTCTTTATGGATTATCCTATTTAATTTTCCTATTGAAGTGTCACCTAGTGCTCATGTGTGAAAAATGCTCAGGGCTGCTCCAGGCAGGCCCTAAACGGAGCCTCATCCAGCCTTGACGTTGTCCCTGCATCTAGCTAAGTGGTCACCTCATCGTTGTTGTCATTTACACCATTTGGGGATCACCTAACAGCAATATTCACTGTTGGTGATAGTCCATGAGTGGCACTTAAGGGTATATTTACCTTTGCTAAAAGGTCTCCAAGAGGCTTTTCCTTCTGTTTCAACCTGTTTTATACACATGGTGTTTCTGTTAAGAGGCTAATTACCTTGACGTTTGAAAATTGCTTTTGCTGGATTGGATTAAGTATCTTTCTGAAATGTATGAATGCTTTCTGTTCAAACTGTCTGTAAACAGACCGGGGTGTTCGGGAAAACCCCCACGTGTATGCACATACCTAGCCAACCGGGTGTACTTTGGAAATAAATACATCAGCTCTACTGCTGGGAGTGTTGCATCCTTGCAATGAGTCAAAGAACCACCTTGCCTTAATTGTTTGTTCCTGAGAGCTACTTAGATGTGGGAAACAAGCCTTTTAAAGCACTGTCTTACGAAAGCAAAGATAAGTTGGGGGGAAACATTGTTTGTGTCTGATGTGCTGCTGAGTTGGAGGGCATTGGAAAGAATTGCCATACAGTGGGACAGAACTGGAGAAGCCAAGTAAGCTGTGAGCACAGCGAACAGTGTCTGTTAAATAGCTTAGATTGAGGAGATGTTACAATGAGTTGACTGTCTTTCAAACAGAAATTCTGTTGGTGAAACTGAAGGCCAAGTGATAAATCGTAAGGTATAATATTTGCTCTATTCTTCAGGCCCTTTGTGACAGATAAAAACTACCATGGAGCTGAAACTCTGAGGTCATGTGAGTGTCACAGGCAGTATTAACAGCTTCAGTTAGTGACGCAGTTAGAGCACGACAGCATCTCAAATTCTGTCATGCTTTTCATGTTTATTTATAAATCCAGTATCAATATTTATGGCCACCTTGGAACGTTCTTATGACATGAATTTCTCTGAGTCTTAATCATTTCACACTGAAGAAGAGAATGACAAAACGATAACCTTTATGTTTTGCTGGTAGCATCTTCCACATTGCAATGTTAGGATTAGCAGTTCCAGTGTTAGGAATAGCTGCTGACATACCACATTCAAATGATACACCAAACCTACAGACTCATTTAAAAAGCTCTAGAAGCCACAGGTCCCAGTGTAGCAAAAGGCCCAGTATTGACATGTAAGACTCTGAGTCTAGGGTCTTTAAGTATTTAAATAGGGGCCTTTTGCGCAGCCTTTTGCTGGTTAGAGCCTACTGGCACTTTTAAATAGTGGTATTATCGTGAAGTTGTGGGACACTGAATGTCCCCAAAGCCATTTCTGAAAATAAAACATTCAATTAGTTCCATCATCTTCTCAAATTTATTTGCCTTATATGCAAAAGGTTCAGTAGATGTCCAGTTATTTCCTTATGTTTCCTGCAGGCTGACAAGCATTCTTACACAGCTATTGTAGTTTAAATCTAGACATGCTCAGTGACTTTGTAAACCAATTGTAAAGCAATTGCTTTCACAGAGTGTGTGAGATGTTTATGTATATATGTCTAAGCCCTCTTTTTCTCTCGAGTTGAGTAGTAGAAGAAATAACGAGAATATTCATCTCACTTTTCCTCCTTGTTTATCTATTATATAATGTTTGTCAAAACATGATTGTGTAAACAAGTAAAAATGTAAACATCACTTAAAGTGATGTTAGCTGCAGTAATCAGCAGTGCTAGCCAGATGTATATGTAGGGCAGCATTGAAATTGTGCTGCTCTGTTACTGCCTTTGATGTAACACAACCTTCATGGTTCATGATTGTGGTAATGCTCTAGCCTTTCCCTTTGCTGTCATGTTAGTGGTTTTGACAATCACGATCTCCAAGGGTCACAGACTCGTATGTTGTTCTAACTTTGCCTTCATAAGAAGCTTTTTTTTTAGTTTTTAATGTGTTACAGAGATGCCACTTTTTCCTGCATGACCTTGTATTGAAATAAAAAGAAGTCCTGACGAAGAACTGCTAAAATAATAGCTGTCCTGAGAAAGGGTAACTCAAAGGAAAGATTTTCACTGTTGAAAGTTAACAAGATATGCCTGAGGTGAAAACATCATAAACGTAAATGATCCCCTTTTTTCCCCCCAATAGTACTTTTTCTTTTACTTTTTCCCTTTTTTATCCCCCAATAGTACTTTTTCTTTTACTTTTTCCTTTTTTTTTCCTCCCAAAACACCAACTTTTGCAGTTATACAATGTTTCATGTTCTGTTTTGTATTTCAGTATATGTACACAGCTCAGCAAACAATAGGCGGCTCCTAAACTTACACGGTTAAGCACTAGGTGCAGTTCTTCCACCTTACATGTGCCTAAGGCTTTATGCTTATGAGCATAAATTGCTCATAAAGAAATAAATTGGATGCATCTAATGGGCCATGGACTTGGCCAGTTTGTGATTTTTCTCTTTTCTACCGTCAAGGCCTTACAGGTGGCGTGAGAGAAGACTCGATTGTACTTGTAGTTTTCCAGACCTGTAATACGTTTTCTAAAGCTTCCAGGCTAAATGTAGAACTTTGTGCCTTCCTTCTTATTCTTCAGAGTTATAGCAAGAATAAATTTACAGCCAATTTGCAAGTTATATCTTGCAAGGGTCAAAGGCAGGTTAACTTGATTTGAAAAGCTGAACTTTGTAAAGATTGTAAATCTGGAAGAGAGACTCACTTTTACCATACCGTAAGCTTTGTTGTGTATAATGCTGTATAGCCTATTTGAATTACTATGGAATAAGTAATAGTTTAGGGCTTAAAATCCCTTTAAGGTACAAATTAATAAAACTGTAGTTAAATGTCTCTTTATCTGATCATGATTGCTGACATGTACCATAATTGTTCTGAGTTTTGCACTTGGTAAAGATTTAAAGAAACTAGTAGGCCCAGCAATTGCTTAGATTCTATCGATTTGACTTTGAAGACTCTGTATGTGCGAATGCTTTCTCGGAGGGCTTCTCTGGGGGCTAATTCCTTATTTAGTTCAGTGGCCCTACAGACTTCAGAAGTGTATATGTACATCAAATCTGGTCGAAGCCGAAGTACCTAGCTGAGTTAGAAAATATAATCGTCTGACAATTTACCTTTGAGAGCAGGAAATAAATTATTAAATAAAACAGTTTTATTCCCTGTTTTCAAAGCATGAAACTCAGCACTGTTGAGCATCACTGGAAATTTTCCATGTTCTTGTAAGTTATTGCACGTTATACTTCATAAAAGTAGTATATGATTATCAAGATGCCACCTCCTGGAAATAACATCTGCATGAACAAACATTTACAGGAATGGAATCATAATTACTTGCTTTTCTTTGTGTCCAGCCTTGGTCTGAATCTCAGTAGCTTGTAATAAATCCACATAAGTGGGAAAAGGGAGTAAACCTAAGAAATCCACACAAGTCCGTCTGGGTCACATAGTAGATAAAAGTCCTTTGACAGCTGCTTGATTTGGCCAATGTTTGAAGAAGAGTCAACCACAGTTCATCAGGAAGTGATCAGATATTTATGCAGAATGAATGACTCTCTGGTGTTGATGATTGACCTCCTAGGCACCTCAGCAGATGGTTAAACTGTTGCATGGACAGATCAGACTAGGTTCCTCTCATGGGAAAGAATATTGCTATGTGAGGTGGGAGGCACTGTGGAAACTTGTACTGAATGTGTTCTTGTAAGTGTACACTCTTCTCATGGAGTAAAAAAAAGGATCTGTTCAGAAACTGTTTTGCTCACTCTCTTGTTTACTTGTTTGCAAAGGTAAGCATACATTTTTTTGCTTTTAAACCTAATTAATTACTCTACTGATGTCAAATGGATAGATAATGTGCCTACTACAGCAATGGCAGGAGCAATCATGAATCTCAAAAGGTGGAGTAAAACGAGGTGGAAAAAATACCCTAAGGCTCTGGTTACTTAAAGTGAAGTGACCTGTTGGATCTCGACTGCTGAAAGGACTTGCTCTTCCTCCTTTCATTTTCCTTATCATCCCTGCTTCTGTTCCCTCCTTTGCTCTAGCTCTGGCATCAACTGGACACCTTTGTGGTCTACTTTGGCCCATTGAACTAAAAGAAAAGAAGATGATATTTTTTCCTGGACCGATTTTTCTTCTGCCAGTGATTTGAACTGGCTCAGGAAGAGATGTAATAAGCTCCCAAACTAGCACACAGCAATGTGCATGAAGCTTGGAGCAATCCAGGTTCAATTAGGAGTAGGGAGAAGTCCATTCCTCTTGTAGCTGGCTCAGCCATACCTTATAAAACCACAGCTTTAAAAAAAAAAAAAAAGTTTAGCCTCTCTGTTAACTGGTCATGTAGGTTTCTATAAACAGTTAGCTTCAAAGTACAGGTCAGGTGTTGTAAAATGTACAGACAGTGAGAGTTTGTGAAATCTAGTTTATGAAGTGTTATAGCAGTCTTAAGAATGTCAGCAGCAAAGAAACTATGTGGGCAAG